ACTTGACTGCTAACCAGGAGGCTGGCGGTTCAAACCCACCAGCCACTCCTTGGAAGGAAGATGGGGCAATCTACTTCCATAGTGATACTGCCTCGGCAACCCAAGGTGGGGTCGCTATGAGTCAGGTCCAACTCGAAGGCACACAACAACATGACGCAGAGGTTAAAGATGTCCCAAATGTCCAACTTTTCCAAACTGCTGTGCCACTACATTATCTCTAACATCAATTTCTCCTTCTCCCCTTAGCACTCTCCCTCCTGTCTTAGGGTTCTGTCTATCACTGTAATATCTCATGGAACTCACAAACTGCCAAGGAAACAGCTCATGTTATGGTGGAGGCTGAGAGTCTAGCAAGTTCCAAGTCCGTGGGTAGGTCTAGAGGATTCTCTCCACTTGTGGTTGCAGAGGCTAGCAAACCCAAATTGGCAGGTCAGATGTCTGTCTGCTGTCTCGAGTGCAGGGGTGAGGTGATGACGAACCAAACACAGGACCAGACCAAGACAGAGAACTTTCCCAGAACATTCACATATATATATCCTCAAGGAAACTAAGGGTGGTGACTTGAGTCATACCCTACAGCAAGGCAGGACTCAAGATACATCCAACCCTAAACAGTCATAGAGACTAGGATTTACAACACATTACAGTATGTAGGATGATGACTAGAAAGGCCATATTAAGTAATTCACTGCATTGCAGTTTCCCATCTTTGTTTTCCTTAGTTGCATATGCCAAATAAAAATCTCCTTTCTTCACTATTATAACTTTGTGGTAATTTTCCCCTAGAACACCACCCAGGGACTCCAAACATATATATAGCTCCCTCATGTATTTTAACATGTCACTTGATGTACATGTATGTATATAGCTGGCATGTGGATATCCCTCAAAAATTTGGGTACAAGGAAAATATACAAGCAAATATTCAAAACAGAGCCTTTCAGACTGAGGTCTCAAAGATGTGTTAATTTTCAGCACTATTAGGTAAACAGAAAAGGAAAACAGAAGGAGAAGTAATTATTCTGGAAAAAAAATCCCTGAATGCTCCAGGGAGAATATAACAAAGATGTTCTTGCACAGACTGTTCTCATGAAATAACTGATAAGTTATAATTTTAGTTTTACTCA